CTCTCTTATTTCACATGTTCTGCATTTTGCTTCTGCTGTGGATCCTGTTAAAGTGCCTTGTAAATAAAGCTGAAAAAAATCATGTGTGGACAAATTAAGAGTTGGAAGATAAAAAAATATGAAAGTATCTGGTACCTTCTCTCACCTTAATGGCATTTCTCGTATAGTTCACACACCGCTGCAGGTCTCCTATGTTTGACATAGGATTTGCCCTAATGCACACAGTCAAAACGCTGTAAGACAAAGGAGACAGAATTACACTGCAGGTATGTCCAACAATTATTAAGTATTCTTACAAGATAATTGTAAAGAGGATAATGGCTCATCTTAATATAAAGATGTCAAAAGAATGAAAATCTGCATTTAATTTTTTTAAGCTAACGGAGCCATACGTGTCCATTACTGAGACAAAGCTGCGTGCAGAACTCGATAAATAATATTATGAAGTACTTTTTATTAACTACAACCTATTGAGTTCTTTGTTTATATTATATAGGAATCCAGATTAACTTTAAGTCGTGGCCAGATGTCTACATGTTGCTTTCAAGGTGCAAGGATTGGTGGGAGTGTTGGCCTAGTGGTTAGAGCTCTGAGAAGGTTACCCGGTTCAATCCCTACAGCCTGCACTCTGGGTCCCTGAGCAAGACCCTTAACCCAACACTGCTCCCCAGGCGCCGCACACTGGCAGCCCACTGCTCCCCAAGGGGATAGGTTAAGTTGCAAAAGTGAATTTCTCCAATGTGAGATTAAAAACTGAGACAGAATGAATTATATCTGAACTTCATCACTTTTAATATGACATTTATGTTAAGCATTAAAACTGAAAAGATCTGTTCGATCCATCAGCATGTTGGATAAGTTTGGACATCTTTTATTTATTTTATTGAAGCCCCTTTTGATTTAGCTTCAGCATGTTGCCTTGTTCAGGGGGTGACGTTAAAGATTTTTACCACTTGCCCTTTTGGGCAAGTGACTTTCACATTTCAGTTGCCCAGAAACAATTTTTACTTGCCCAGTATAATGTTTGATAAATATAGTTCCTAATATTTATTTTTGTATATATATATCAATGAAACATGTTTGTTTTTTAAAGGTTTTTTGTAATTCAGTATTTTTTAGTTTCCAGGTTCCTGGTGTGTTTATGCATGCATCAGATAATGAACTCTAGCCTACATTACTGTGTTAACATGCTTTTCAATCCTTCCTGCACATTCTTTTCAAACTAAACTTTGCTTTAAACTGTTGTGTGCTTGGAAAAATATAAATTGTAATGTTAAAAATCTAAAAAAAAACTTGACAGTTTAAATACTTAAGATAAATCACAAGACAGAAGTCAATGTCACAAATGAATACTGTTATTTTAAAGTCACGGTATGTTGATACAAGGTGATACTATTAATATAATGTGACTTTTC